GCCTGAACCGGGTCCTCCCCCGCTTGAACTCTTTGTGCATCAGGAGTGACATGTTGGTCCCGGCTTCTGCGCTCTCTTCTACGCCCGCGGCTCCTGGAGCGACTTCGTCGTCGGCGTCTTTGGCGGTCTCTATCTCTGTCGTGGTCCCGGTCTCGGTGTGTTCCACCGGATCTGCTTGCTCGGCCTTCCATATTCTGCCGAGTGGGAGGGACCACACACGGTTCCCTGCTTACCACCACGATGGCAAGGATATTAATCCTGATGTCGATGCCCAAGTCACGTTCAGGTAGTAGGTCAAGGGCACGTTCGAGGTAGGGCTCCCCGAGAATCGCTGAGTTATCGAAGATGAGAAGTAGGCTCGCCGATCACCTCAGAGGCGGTGTTGGCAAAGTCCCGAAAGCACTGGTCAGCGGCGGTTGCTCTCCGGGAACGTTGCACACCGAGGTCCCGCGCAAAAGCGATGAGCTGGAAGTACGCACGGAACTCGAACTCACCGTTCAGCAATGGCGGCGGCGGCAGAGAGGCAAACTTGTATGTTTAGGCGCCGGGTTGGAGGATCGGCGGGGCTCGCAACGACAATACAAACGACAAGGGGACAGTGCGGCCCGCTCGTCCTTGAACACTCACGGCTTGAGCCAAAATGGCTTGAGCCAAATTGTCTCTCTCTCTCTCTGTTTCTGCTCAAGCTGGAAAGACGTCACACGTTCCAATGCCGGCTAGCGGCGTATCAGCATCACCGATCTCGACGTTGTTCGCAGTGAGTAGCCTCGCGGAAGACAGTGTTGAAGAGTGCAGGGAACACTCCGGCCGCTCTGCAGCAGCCTGAGGCGAGACGGCGTGACCCGCAAAGCGCAGCCGACCACTTCCCGCAGCTCCGCGCCATTGCCTTCGAAGTTCGACAAGTTCGCCTCGCACACGGCTTTGTTTGGCAGCCAGCATCCGCATCCGAAAGACCACCATCATGCGTACTCATATTGGAAAGGTGTCCATACACAGATGAAGCACAAGAACTTGCGACAAATAACAGTGAAAGAAAGCAACAGCCTAGATGCCGAATATATCTTGAAGCGCAGGGGCCCGGAACTCACACCCCGACCTCCGAAGCCCCCCAACCTCAAAGGTTTAGGGCCTATAGGGCGAAGCTCCCAACTTCCCGAAGGCGACATTCGCCTCGACCTCCCTTCCGCTGAGCAGGTTGACAGTGAGGGCGGGCATGCCCTGAAGCTTTCGGAATTCTTGGCTATGTGGCTGCTCATTCGAGGATACTCGATCGGGTCACCTTCGGGGTCTTTTAGTGGCGTTTCACTCATCTGCCTAGAAGCCGCAAAAATAAGGAATCTGGGTTGGGGAAGGCCACCTTCATCCCGCAATGCTGGACTGTCGACGAACAGTTCATACACTGCCCAAATCTAGACACGAAAGCCGAGGCCTTTTCAAGACCTGGGCCCTTCAGGCCCAGCGATCTCAGGACATCTTTGAGCCGAGGGGTGCTTCAGGGAAGGAAGGTTCCGGGCGGTTTGAACTTGCAGAGAAGGCGTCCACACAAAGCAGCAGAAGCTGTGATCCCGACGGAGCCAGGGTCTGCAGCCTTGCCTGGCCAGCGGGCTTAGGACTCCTTCTGCCCTGTCGGAGCACAGTCCATCGCCTTCGAGGCCTTCCCGGCTCCGCCTCGGCGTGTTTTTGTCCCCGGGCCCCACCCCTCCAGGCCATCGTCGTTCTAACACATGAGACTATGGGCTGTACGGATGCAGCACTCACAGCATCTCACAGCACCAAGGCCGGGACAAGCCTTCACGCACTCCGAGAATGTAGGCGATAGCCTGACCTCACTCCACGGTCACCCCTTTCCAAACGCAGACCGTTGGCCGCATGACATGAGCAACCCGCGCGTCTTTCCAAGACCCATGGCATCGGCCAGGACTGCACCTCGGAATTTCAGAGCACCGAAGGGTAACAATGATCAGAAGCTTCCACCTGACCTGTGCTCTGACTTAGCCAGGTGCCCATCCCCGCGCTCGCTCGGGCCATGAGCCATCTGTAGCCCTCTTCCTGGTGAGGCCGCAAGGCCTGGGCACCAGGATTGACTGCAGACAGCTGCAGCCGCAACTGTTCGGACCTCAACGTCATGACGGTGCTTTCCCGTTTTCTCCTGTTCCCCGGTGGAAGACGCTCCCATCTTACGTTAACTTTCGATGTACGTGCCCGCAACAAGATCTTACGTTGAGCACCGGTGATCTCTTTGCTCAGGGAGCGGCCCATTGCGGCCGGATTTGCAATCGCAACCTTTGACAGCTGGCGCTGCTGCTCTGCTGCTACTCTGCTGACTCTGCTGCACGAGGAAGGCAGCTTCTTCTCTCTGTGGGTCCGAGTTCCCAGGCGGCCGCAACAACTCTTTCAGCGCTGCAGCGGCGGCCGCATCCAGGGACAACCTTCCGTTGGGCGCTGCAGGACTACCGGCTGGCGCAAGTTAGACTTGGGAAGGCCTGGGATGAGCACCGGCGTAGGCCAAGAGCACATCTCCAACAGAGGCAGCAGCCTCAACGGCAAGATTCGAGAAGAGCCTTGCCTCATCATCATCATCAGCAGCATCATCAATAGTGCCATCATCAGAATTGTCAAGGTCGTCTCGCTTCAGAAGTTGTTGCTGGTGGCCCGATGTTGCCAGGCAACGTCGGCGGCATGCTTTTGGCTAGGATCGATCTCGCGATACCTTCCGCGCTCCACTGCAACTACTACTAGTACTACTACTACTACTACTACTGTTCCGACTGCTGCTGCTGCTGCTGCTGCTGCTGCTACTACTACTACTACTACTACTACCACTGTTACTACGACGAATGCTACGAATTATTTTCCAGTATGATGTGGAAGAGGCACCCTTGTGTCAAAGGCAATGCTCTTCCTAGATACAGCTGGGCAAAGACTTTACGGAGTGAGACCTGTGAGCCCCGGACCTAAACCAGCCCAAAGCCCAAACCCTGTACGAGATAGGCCGGAATGATTAGTAATCGTTTACCAGTTTAGCTCTATAATATTGCTGTCGGACACCTCAAACACCTGACAACCCTCTTCTAATCATGAAGGCCCCTGTACTACACCCCCAAAATGCAATTATGAAACCCTGTACAAACTCTTTCTCTACCATCCTTCTAAACCTTTCTGACACAGTGACTACAAAACCGTATTGAATCTGAAACCCTAAACCCTAAACCCTAAACCCCATCGTGACAGATCGGCCTTCGGAGGATGCATGATCGAGGCCGCCAAGGTGGAGTGCATTTTGCCACCACCAGGCCTGGAGAAGAAACGCTTGGTAATAGGGTTTCGGGGTTTAGGGTTTAGGGTTTTAGGGTTTAGGGTTTAGGGGGTTTGGGGTTAGGATTGAAAGTTTAGGCAAATGCGCCAGACCCAACGCCTTAAACTCAAGACATCCGATAAGAGGATCAGTAAAAGAGGTCGTTCATTGTGGGAGGGTGTCGGGAAGTGAAGATGAGAGAGCGCTGGGGAGCATCGGAGATTACCAGAAACAAATACCACCATACCACCCTTGGACCCACTCCCTCAAGGATAACCATATCTATATATAGAATATGTTGTATTGTGTCCCTAAACCCTAAACGCTAAACGCTAAACCCTAAACCCTAAGGCCCTAACCCCTAAGCCCCACGTCCGAAGCCCTAAGGCCCTAAACACTAAACCCTAAACCCTAAACCCTAAACCCTAAGCCCTAAAGCCATGTCGTATACACCACAACCTGAAAACGATACGACGAGCTGCAGCTGGCTTAGGAAAATATCGCCAGTCGCAGCGAAGATTCCTTCGTTGACTAGCCCGAACCTTAAAGCCCTGAATCCGAAACCCTAAGCCCTAAACCCTAAACCCTAAACCCTAAACTAAAACCCGAAACCCTAAACCCTGAATCCTAAGCGCTAAGTTCCTAAATCCCAAATTGAAAAGTTACTAATGACTGACTCCCCAGTGAGGGTCTCAGCACTGATCCCGAGAATCCGGATCAAAATGTAGAAGTAGTAGTAGTAGTAGTAGCAGTAGTAGTAGTAGTAGTAGTAGTAGCAGTAGTAGTAGTAGTAGTAGTAGTAGTAGTAGTAGTAGTAGTATCTTGTAGCAATCCCCACAAAGGCATAGCTATACCCCCCAAATCCTGTCCTAGTTATTTTGTTGCAACAACCCGTAAGCTCAAGGCCTTTGCCTGCACCTACTTCACACAGCCGAAAAGCTCCAGTTTACTGGGTCCACTCGAAATCTACAGTTCTTGGAATTAGGGTTTCAGTTGACAGTTAGGGGTTTGGGACAGCAGCATTGGTACTAGTCCAAAGAGCACTATGAACATGAGTAGTAACGGGGTGTTAATATTTAGAACTGGCTTTGGGAGTCTATTATACTATAATTACAGTAAGGAGCCACCAAAACCCTTTCTTTATCATTTAAGCCCCTATATTGTCAGCCAAATTTTCTTCAAACAGAGCCCTCCCGCGAGCTCCCCCCACCACTTGGGCCCCAAATCTCGCAGTGGGTTTACTACAGTGGCCCGAGTGATTGCAATGATTATATGCTTTCGGGCTCCTTACTATATGTCTACGGCGATAGACCCCGAAACCCGGTTTGGGGTTTAGGGTTTAGGGAACTTCTGAGTTCGGGGCCTCTAGATGATCATATTATCTATGTAGGGTTCATTACGGCTTCAAGGGTTGAGGGTTGAAGGCTCGGGGTGGAGATTGGAGCATGGTTTAGGGTTTGGAGTTCAAGGTCTACTAGCGCTTATAGTACCGCTTCTACACCCTATTCTAGAACACATGCTGATGTTGGAAGCCCAAAAGAACCAGACCCTGGTAGTAAATCATATTGAGCCCTTAAAGACGAAGTCGTTTCGAGTCCGGGGCTTAGCGTGTTCACGGGCATTTGGAGCCCGGACGTTCCTCTCAACGCTGAACCCGACAACGAAGAAGCCTACTTTTGGGGCCCAAATAATTACCTATACTATTTTGGGGCTCCTGATTATCCTTTTAGTATAAGGGGCCCCCAAACCCTATTTCAATTGTTAAGGCCCCTATATTAAGCAGAAAAGAACAAAGCACAGTAAAACAAGCGAAGCAAACAGAGAGTCCCAACCCAGCAGATCGTTTAGGGTTTAGGGTTTAGGGTTTAGGGTTTAGGACCCTAAACCCTAAACCCTAAACCCTAAACCCTAATCTTCCATAGAGGCTTGCACACGCCTCGCACCTTCGCATTGACGCATAAGGCAGGAGAGGCATCTCCCGGGAATCCTTCTTCTCGGATTTGGGGTTAGTGTCCAGGGTGGTTTAGGGTTTTGGGTGTGATGTAGAAGCCTAAATAACTACCTATACTATTTTGGGGGCTCCTTCTTATAAGTATAGTATTATGGGCCCCAAAACCCTACTCTAATTATTAAGGCTTCTACATCGGGAGTTTTGGGTCTTGGGAATATGGTGTTGGTGTGTTTCATAGGTAGTGACACGCGGGGTTATGGGGTTCCTTAAGGCTTCCTCTAAAGGGTTCTATAGGGTTTAGGAGTAGTTATAAGTGGGGTTATAAGTCCCCTAATACGGGTTAGAAGTATAGTTACCCTATATTAGTTAGAACCCCATTCATAACTACCCATGAACCTCCAAGTGGTTTTAGGCGTTGACGGTTCAGCTCAGGCCGCACAAGGTTCCAGTGGAAGAACTTCGACCGAGGATGTCGAAGCTACAACTCATCGTAGCTAACCTAGGGTCCGTTACGGCCCCTAAGTTAATCAGCACAGTAACTCGTAACGTCGACCCTTCTTGGGTGGGAGCCCGAAACTCTTGTGGCAATGGGTTCTTAACACTCTGACACGCACATGTTAAGCTGCGAGTTCGTAACATAACACATGAGCAACCACAATTCGGCACGACTGCCTGCAACAGCCAAAGGTCCTGTGTCTTCATGCGGGAGTTATACGAGGGGTAATTAGTGAGACAACCGGCCGCGAAATGACCTCAGCAACTTTGGCCCTGAGCCTGCTACCCGTACTCAAGATGGTGTTGATCGTTTTAATGTGCTCTGCCACAAAACATGCTGCAGGAAGCGGTTCCAGAACCCCGAAACCCTAAACCCTAAACAGGTTGCACCACCACGCAGGAGACCCGAGACATGATAGAAGAGAAAGGGCTAAAAGGGTTTATATAGGGTTTAGGGTTTAGGGCATACTGTGGGCCAGACTTAGATAGCCAATAGGGGAACTTTAAACATTTTTGGCCTTATCTACTAGGTCTATCACAAAAAGTTTGAACTTTTTTGGACCTGGTTGTTGAAAAAGAGAGAAGACTGCAGTTCACATACAGACGCACGTAGATAAATGAGAACATGTATACATATTACATATACACGCACATAGTTAGACGTGTATGTGTCTATATGTATATATATATATATATATGTATACACGTAGCTTCATATCATACACAAATAAGTAAATAAGTCTACAGATGTGTGCATGTACGTATGCATGCATGCATGCATGTATGTATGTATGTATGTATGTATGTATGTATGTATAGTAGATAGATACCTGCATACCTATAAACATGTGTATACATATATATATATATATATAAATCCATGTATATATATATATATGCGCACTCCGATTACTCGATGTGTTCGTTGATGTTCAGCGTACGATGATCAGGCATTTGTTCATGTGCTTCTACGGTGTACTATTGTTTTTCGTGCAGGCTTGTGCTTAAGCAAGTGAGTGTTTAAGGAAACACCGTCAGAATCCTAGGTGTATATGTTACACATCTGTATGTATGTGTGTAATATATATATATGTATGTATATATGTATACATATGCGTGTTGATGTATATGTCTTGCTTGGTTGTTCTCACTGTCGCTTCGTTTGGCATTCAGTATCATTACGGCTGCCTCAAATCCATGTTGTTGAAACTAGTCAAGCCCGCCCTACCCCAAGCCAAACCCTCAAATTCCCAAAACCCGGCTAGAGCCATCTAGCTTGGAGGCGCTGCTAACTGAATGGACCGGCGATGTGCAGAACGGCAAGGTGTCCACGAGAGTTGAGGGCGGCCGAGCTTTTCCAGAGATTCTGGAGAGATTTTACAGTCTTTCCAAGGTTTGAGAGCTGCTCCGCAGAACTTCTGACAGTGGCCTACACCATGAGAACGATATAACCGCATTACAGAAAGATGGCGCTACCCCCCCCCCCCCCCCCCCCC